AGCATTGAAAATGGGCAGGCCATGGCTCTGCAGCTGTGCAGCTGGATCTTGCAAACACGACGGAGCGAAAGGAAGCCGGCTGCAGCAACACAAGTGCGGTTGATCTTGTGTGATCTTTATTCCAGAGCAATAAAGAAAACCCACTTCACGGTGACAGGCCTGGGGATAAGAGTGACTTTGGCACAAGATGAATGAGGTCGTTCTAGATTCCTTCTTGCTTTTCTGGGAAAAATGACAGCAAAAACAGAACCAGTTTATTTCTGAATGCTTTAACATACAAACAAAAGTACAATGTTTCTGCTGTTAAGGATGCTCCCCAGGGAGGTGAGAATTGTCCTTACTGAACAGACACGTTTGAAACATTTTCTCCACAACTATGGGTACTGTCACATGACCACAATTCAGAATTAAAGGGGCAGCTTCTGAGAGATTCAGCTTCTTAGAAAGGATTCGTTTCTTCCTAGCCGCCTCTGCCCATCTGTTTCAAGACTGAATAAATACTCCAGCATGTGGTTCATTTCTGGAAGTTTGTAAACATGGAGAAGTCAGTTTCAAAGCGTATGGCCAATATTTAGTAAATGTTTGAGCTTTTTTTTTTCCCTCCCCAAAAAACTAGGTACCAGGTGTGATGGTTCACATCTTTTAATTTTAGCACATGGGAAGCTGATTCAGGAGGACAACTTTAACTAGTGCAAGGTCAGCTTGAGCTACAGAATAAGACACTGTTACACACACACACACACACACACACACACACGCGCACATGTGTGCGTGTGCTCTTGGAATAAAGCCAGATGTTTTTAAATTGTTCCAACACAACATTTTACCTAGTTAACAGAATGAACATCCATACTGTAGATTCTATTTCTTGACAAGACTGAAAAGTTTCTGCAACTCCATGAGCCTCTCCACTGACACAGCAATCCAAATCAAGACCAAATTAAATCAAATTAGAAAAAGCCCAGGTTTAATGAACAAAATGCTCCTGGGTGATTTTCCAACACCCCAGAGAGATGGAAAAGAGAGAACCAAAAAAGCATGTGTCTGTTTTCTGGGGGACAGTTTATAAATACCTTGTGGGAGTGGCCTTGAGCATGCCTGGGGAGGGGGTCATCATTTGGCCGGCTTTCTAATGTGTCAGGGTTTGGAGAGGGATGGGGGAGGGGGCTTGGGATGGAGCTTCCACCAGAACATCTCAGACTCTTTGGGTATATGGATGCTGGCTCACATCTGGCTGCTTCCTGCGGGGATTGGACGATAGGGCGGGGAAGGGATTCAGGAGTTGGTGGGCTCACACTTAGCAAGAGGTGTGGCTGGAGAAACATCCAATTAACCGCCATCCTGGAGACTTCAGGTATTTGTTTCTTGAGAAAGCAGAAAAGGCAACCAAGTAATTTTTGCTTAACGTAAATATAATGAATAATTCTAAAAAAATATTTTTAAGGTAAGTTATTTTGAAAATAAAGGGCAAAAGAAAACGGAAGTGAGGATGGCAGCAAACCTCACTTTACCATACAAACTCCAAAACAAAAAAGTGGCCGAGGAGAAGGCCGTGGTATGCAAACAAGCAATTCCTAAGTACAGGTGGAAGTTTTGGGCCATTTCATTTGTTTTTATGTTTCATAACTTGCACACTTTACAGATTTTTTTAAATGTATCCAGCTTTCCACTTTGGGACTGGGAAAATGAAGTGTGGGTGTATTCTGAACTCCAGGATTGAATGGCAGCTTCAGGGGCCGGGGAAGAGGTTCACCCTGCAGAGTCAAACTCAAAGCATTGCCAGCAGCTGGGAATCAGGACAGAAAGGGACTTGATTAAGATTGGTCAATGGAGAGCTGGCTACTCTTGCAGAGGACCTGGGTTCCATTCATAGCATGGAACAAACATGCTGGCACACAGCCGTCTAACTAACTCCAGAGAATACAACACTCAGAGGGCACCGCGTTCATGAACACATACACAGAGATGCATACACAAAATAAATAATAATTTAAAAGTTATCTTTTCTTAAAAAAATTATATAACTCAAGGCAACCTAGTAAGTAGCATTGTTTTCTTCCCGTATGCACAAATCCAACTTCTATAACCAGACTTCCACAGTTTGGAGACAATGTAGGTTTCTAGTGAGCCCAGTAGGCATGTTCAAGTGGGAAGCAAAGAAAGAACAGGGCGTTAGATCATGCAGCACTTACAAAGCCACCAACCTACTGTGGGTTCCTTACACCGTGATATGCCAAAGACCCGACATGGACCCCAGCCCCCAGCTTCTTACCCTGTGGGCCAAAACCTGAATGGGGAAGTTTCGAAAATTTTCTTACTGGCAAAACGTTTCCATATAGGATAAAAACCAAAAATTAATTCAAAATCAGACCCAGAGTGAACCTATGGTGTTCCTGGCAGAGTTCACCACATTGTGTCACAGAGCCTCGCCACGGCTGTGGTTCTGATGGGCACGTGCACTTTGCATTCTGTGACTATCGCTCCATGCAGGGTCTTGCAGGAAACACGGCTCAGACTGAAGCCGCCCAACCTCAGGTGTTGCGGTACCTTTCAGCCCACACAATGGTTTTCTGCTGCTTCAGAAACAAAATGGCTTAATTACAGGAAAAAGAAATCTCTTGGTGTCCTCCTTTTATCAGGCCTAGGCACGTTTAGTATCAGAGTAGAGTATCTTTGAATTGGATTGCGTTAGGACGTTTTCTTTTTAAAATTGCTGTTTGAATTTCGTTTTTTTTTTTTTTTAAATATGGTTTGCTAAATTGTGGCTTGGGATTAAGATAGAATTTCCAACAACTTCTGAAGTGGCCCTGTATTAGTTGGTTTTCTATTACTATGATAAACAACCATGACCAAAGCAACTTAGGAGAGAGGTTTGTTTTGGGCTTACAGTTTCAGAGGCACCATGGTGGAGTGGTGTAGCAGCAAGCAGCAAACAGGTTGGCTGGAGCAGAGCTTAAGAGTTAGCTGGATGCAAAAGCTGTGTACTTCAATGTAGATTTTGGCTCCTTTAAGACAATGAAAGTGGGATGTATTTGCAACAATCTTTCTTACAGCACCATTTATGACGGTTAAGGTCTGTTAAGTCCACATGTCCTTAATAATGCAGCCTGCTCACGTCTGTTTAAGCAGCCAATGAAGAGCTATATAGCCGCTAAACAAGCAGATGGGGCTGGAGATACGGCTTAGTGGGAGAACACTTGCCTGGTGTGCATAAGCACTGAGTTCCAGCATCTATCTCTCTCTCTCTCTCTCTCTCTCTCTCTCTCTCTCTCTCTCTCTCTCTCACACACACACACACACACACACACACAACCATGTCATGGTTTCCTGTGCAGAGGGTGAGGGGCATCCTTCTCATTGTATTTATTCACTAGTGTTACTTGAATTTCACCATGCATATAGATTTCTAAGATTACACATGAACTTCAGACTTATACTTTCCTACACAACCAAAATCATACGCTGTTAAGCAACTGAAAATACACTTTAATGTCAGGAGTGAACTTGAAATTTGTGTTACAGTCTGACAGGATGATAGATGCCTAACAGGTTAACAAAGCTGAGGGTCTTCGCTAATGGCTACACCCAGTTGCATGAGATATTCAGAATTCCCCATCCAGACACAGAAAGATAGTTGCTGTTTCACAGAAAGGGGAATTACACATAGTTTCTCTTTTGTTACCAAATCTGTAACTATAATAGGCTGACAAACAATATACATTTTAAGTTTTATTTATTTTTACATGAATGAGTATTTTGCCTACATGTAAGACGTGGGTACCATTTGCATACAAACGTGCACTGGTGCTTACAAGTCAGAAAAGGGTATCACATCCCCCTGGGACTGGAGTTACAGAAAGTTGTGAGCGCCCATGTGGATGCTGGGAACTGAACTCAGGTCCTCTACAAGAGCAACCAGTGCTCTTAACTCCTGAGACTTTTCTCCAGATCCCAAATTATAAATTGTATGGCATTTGAACTCAATAAATCTGTAAAGAAGATTTTCAGAAACAAAAATCCCCAACTGTGCAGCTTAATTATACTAAGCATGTGAGAGATAGACTATGCTATTGTAGCTATTGAAACTCAATTATCTAAAGTTCTCTAGTTAAAGATTCAAATCCAGTTAAGACTCCAAAAAAAAAAAATCAGGCCACAACCTAGGACTTTAAAATCTAAATGTGTAACAATTTACCATCACCAATCTATGGAGAAGAGCAGCTATTATTGACTACGGTTGTGGGACTGGATGTTCCTCTTGCTGGCGATTTCTGCAGGTAGCCAGGTGTGCCAGCAGGAACTGACCAGCCTCCCTGTTGGTGGGATTCACTACTATCACAGGATGGCAGTCTTTAGAATCTGTGTTTGGAGCCTGTCTTAGAGGGTTGAGTCACAGCCAGCTTCCTCCACGTTGCTGGGTCCATCTGTGGGGGTGAAGCCCAGAAACATGCATTTCAACAGTCTCTTTGGGGTTGCTGATGTCACCAGGTCAGGGAATTAAAAGTCCCAAAGACATCACCGAGCTTTCTTGCAGCCCCTACATGGAAGCAAATCCCACACAACTCATGCCCTTTATGAACTGTGACATCTTCCATACTCTTAATCTCAAGTAAAAAGATAAATCTTAAATAAAAGTTAGCTGCAAGGCATCATTTTGGATGAAGTCTGAAAGTTCTGAACATGAAAAGCATCTTTGAAAATCATTAAAATGTAATCTTTGGTTTCCGGTCAAGAGAGGGTCTCGGGAGTGATCCTTAAACTGAATTTAATTAAACACAAACGTTGTAAATTCCAAGACACAGCCACTACCACTTAGGTCTTCATTTCTGTGGTATGTGTGCTTGGACCAATTTAGGCACACAACAAAGGCCACATGTGAAGGAACGCCAACCCCACCCAGCGGTTCTGAGTGAGCGGCCCGAATTCCATCCAATTAGTTCTCCAACTAAGAGAATGCCATGCCTCTTGCACTGTGGGGGCACGGGAGTTGCTCTCCTCCTTCAGTTTGCTTGGGCGCATCTGGTGCTGGCTCCATAGAAGGTGAGCATTGTAGCCACCAGCTGCGGAAGATCAAAGTCGTGCTTCCAGCCCCAATCCATTCGGGCATTGCTGTCATCTAGTTTCATGGGCCAGCTCTCAGCTAAGGCAAGACACAGGAAAGAACAGTGGGTTATCCAGGCTCTGTATTTGGGTTTTATATGAAGTCACAGAAAAGAAAATCTCATCTCAGAGAGAACTGGAGCAGGGGACGGGGAGGCAGACCAGACTTTCCTAAAGATTGACAGCAATCTGAGCCTTAGTTCTGGGTCACTAAAATGGGACAGAGCTAAACAAACAGTCCTCGGAAAAACCACAGCCTTCTGCTAGTTCAGCAGCCTCCCTAAGGCCCCGTCTGCTGGCTCAACAGCCCTCCCCTCCCCAGTCCTGATATGTAAAGGTAGCTTTCCCTACCCTGCTGTTGGAAGGTCCCTAACCACCAGGACCTCCCACCAATCAGTCCCCAGACTAATCTTTCCTCCACCAATCAGACCCAGATTAATCCCTCCTCTCTGGAATTACCCTAACTCTGCTTAAAAGGAGCCTGTGACCATCTTTGGGGGTTGCTAAGTGTCACCCCAATGTTGGAATTAATAAGGCACTCTTGTTATTGCATACATGGACTGTTGGTCTTCTTTGGGGCTTCTCTCCGACCCTAACAGTCTCTGACTGGAATAGACCTCGTCCATGCAGGGCCACCTCTTCAGAAGCCATTGGGTACCTGCACTGGGGTTTTCATATTATTAAAACCTCACATGGCTTTGTAAGGGAACATTCTTATATCCAGAAGGGTGTTCCAGGCCATGGATAACAATAACACCATACGAAGGCCCAAGCCTGTTTGTACACTGCCTTGATTTCATCTGTTCCTCCCGGCTTCATTAAATTGTGCAAAGGTGACATGGTGCCGGACTATTTCCTGAGCTGGAACCTTTCTCCCGAAGACCCGTTTCCCCACACGGAAGCATCTGTGAACGGACCACCGCGATCCTCAGTCTTAAAGCCTCCTCACTTGAGTGGCGTGGGGATTTTCAAATCCATTTGCTAACTAGAGGGGAACTAGAGGGGGCTGGCGTGGGGGCCTACCAATGGCCTGCCGGAGGGGATCCACACAGTAGGTGATCTGGAAGTCGGGTATGTGCTTAACGATGGCCCGTGCCAGCTCCTCGGGGGTGAAGCTCATGGCGCTGATGTTGTAGGTCCTCATGGAGAGGCGCTCAGCAGGGGCCTCCATGACTTCCAGGGTGGCCCTGAGGCAGTCGCTGATGTACATCATGGGGAGCCTGGTGCTGGCCTTGAGGTTGCACTCAAATGTGCCTTTCTTTGCTGCATCATGGAAAATCTGGACTGCGTAGTCTGAAAGAGAACCCCATCCGTGGCAGCCGGAGCGAGGAGGCTCAGGTCTGAGTTGCCAGTGCTCTTAATTCAGAAACTCTTTAGACTATTAAAAATGGAAGACTCCCCCAAAAGATATGAATAGTATGGGCTATATCAAGATTTACTGTTATACACAGGTAACTAAAGAATTTTTTTTTTTTTTGTAACTAGCGAGATAAAAAAACACTCTCTACTTTCCAAGTTCCCTTGAAATACAGGGAAACTAAGGCAGCCAGTTTACGGATGAAGTAGGGTCTCCCCAAAACAAGAGAATTTAAGGGTGAAGGAGGCTGGAGACTGCACTTACCAGTTGTTCCTCCTCCAGGCTGGGATTCTGCAGAAATGATTCCAGGATATCTTAGGCACCGGAAATCTAACCCATACCGGTAATAATAGTACTAAGAAAAAGAAAGAGCTTGCTAAAAATAATAATCCTGTAGTTCAGATAAAACAAAGAAATTGTGTTTTCCCTAAAATACCCCATGCAGTTAAATTAAATGTTCTTCAGAAGAATAAACATTTAGGACCTGTAGGATGGCTCAGTGGGGAAAGGCACTTGCCACACAGCCTGGTGACTTGAGCTGGCTCCTCAGAACCAACATAAAGGTGGAGAGACTCCACATTTGTCCTCCAACCCCACCACCACATGCTGTGGTACATTCGTGTGTGCATATACACATGCAACATACACACAATGTTTACAAGACCAAGTTTTTCACTTTAATAATACTCAATGATTTATCTTCTGGAAATCACCATCTTCATGCTACATCAAGGTAATATCAAATGATAGAGCAGCCTGCAGGTGGCACTCCTGCTCCCTGCCTGCCCTGAATGCTGCAAGCTTGTTCCCCTGCAGAGAAATTTGACATCCAGTAGCTGAAGGGCCAGACACTGACCCACAGTTTGCTATAAAACAGTAAAAGCGTGGTTGAAGTTTTCCACAGTAGGAAGTTTCGGGGCTGGGGAGATGACTCAGTGCTTCTGGCACAGTCACGAGGAGCTGAGCTAGAGTCTGTAGAACCCGTATAAGAAAACAGGACACAGCATGTGCCTGTAATCTAGTACTGGGGAAACCGAGAAGACTCAATGCCCACAAGCCTGGCCTGCGCGTTCCAGGTTCTAGTAAGAGACCTTGTCTCAAAATGTATTATGGAGAGGAACTGACGGAGACACCTAACCTCTGGCCTCCACACATAGGAATACACACACTTGGTCCCCACATATTCTCTCCTTCCCCATGCCCTCCCCACCCCCGTGTCTCCATCACTCTCTCTTCAGAAAAGATTTTGACACTCCCACCAGTAATTATAGATGAGAGCCTTGCAAACAAGTTGGGCAACAAGCAAGGTGGGAGGGGTTTCAAGGCCAGGAGTGTCGTGGCTGTAGGCAAGCAGAAACCTATAGCTAAATTCTTCAGTGCCTACAAGGGAAGGGGCCTACCACTAGACCAATAACACACCAGCTAAGTAATTGTCTCCAGGGTGTAATCGTTTCCCCCCAAAATAAAGCAGGAAGTGTCTGAGGCAGAAAAAAAAAATAGGGTCAGACACACAGACTCATCTAGCCCTGAGCATTTTTTAGCAATCTTGCCGAGAAATGCTTACTTCTCCCATGAGCTCCGCGTGGACCTTGGATACCCCATAGATGGTCCTGGGCCTTTGAATGCAGAGATCAGGTGCAGGGTTCCTAGGAGAGGTAGCTCCAAAAGCTCCAATCGTGCTGGGCACAAACAATCTCATATTGAATTCAGCTGCAACATCTAGAATGTTATGCAGTCCTGAAATGAAGGGACACTTATGACAATCTGCAACGGAGACGCATTGCCAAGAGCAGGAAAAACTGGCCCCTTTCGGCTAGAGCCAGCTGCTCACCAGTTATATTCACATCTCTGGCCAAGGCCACGTTTGCTTCTCCGACAGCGCTGAGCAGCGCACTGTAGTGAAAGATCCAGCTAATCCGGTGGTTCACCACGATCTCACGGAGTTTCTTGTAATCCAGGATATCGGCATAAATGAAAGGGCCTATAAACACAGAGCGAGAAGGGCTGCAGTGAAGCTAAGTGGATTCCCTGGCCCCGGCCACTGACTTGAGAAAATCTCCTCATCCTCTCTCGCCCTCCCTCCCCAACCTTCCTTATGGAAAGCACAACCTGGCTCTGTAGCCTAGGTTGGACTGGAACTATGTGATTCTTCTGCCCTAGCCTCCTGAGCACTGGCTTAACAGCCATGCTCCAGCTTCTGTGTCTGGTTATTTATGTATATCTCGTGTGTGTGTGTGTGTGTGTGTGTGTGTGTGTGTGTGTGTGTGTAAATCTAGGTACTCAGCATCCAGGCTGGAAAAGGGTGCTGAAATTTTGGGGGGTGATGCTCGTGAGTGCAGGTCTCTGTGGAGCCCAGAAGATGGTCTTGGATCCCCTAGAGCTGTAGTTACAGGTGCTTGGGAGCCACCTGATGTGGGTGCTGGGAACCAAACTTGGATGCTCTGAAAGCGCTCTTAACACTAAGCCATCTCTCTTCTCCACATTCGTCAACTCTTTTTCCTCATCACACTTTTTGTTTGAGGGCTCTTTAAGACAGTCAGATAACCAAAAACTCAAAAGATAGGAATCAAAGCTTTTAGTCCAAAAACATTATTGAAAGTAATATTCAGATATCTTATTCCAGAACTTCAGACTCCACAGAGCACTTCTGTTCCTTGTCATTTGAATGGAGCAAACACACTTTAAAGCCAGGACCGTGCCCAAATCCGTCTTAGTCGACTATACACGGACTCCACTGAGCTGCCTCTGTGGCTGCATTTTGAAAAGAGAAACATCAGGACTATCCATATCTTACCACTGTGGAAGACGTGAGCAGGGGGCTTCTTTATGTCTGATAAGATCACGTTGTCCTTCCCAAATCGTCTCCTGTAGGGAAAGAAAGCCCCCCACCCCGTCCCCCACAATGAGTCGGCAACATCAGGAATACAAGTCTTAGGTAACTGGTTATTTCTAATAGGCACTGCAGTTGCGGGGCCTTCTCCAGTCACCTTCTTTCTCGTCAGCATTGTCACATACCCCTCAGCTTTGCCTTCCTAAGCTCAGCCCTCATTTTCTCTCCCCAGCCTGATTCTCTCCTTCTACCCTTCCCCCACTGCATTGGTCACCAGTGCTATCTCCAGATCCTTGGCACTTCCTCTTCTCCCTCATTCTTTTACCCTACTAACTTCAACCCCAGACAAGACCCTTCCAGCTCCTATCAGCACTGGCCCCGCCCTCTGCTCCCAAACAGCTGAAAGGTAAGGGATTCATTTGGGGTGATGAGTCTCACTGCATCCAAGTAGGACCGACAGCAAAGAGCTGGTGTCGTGACCAAGAGGCAGACTAAATTGTATTTTAAGTAGATATTTAGATGTGACATCTTAGAAGCAGAAAGAAGCCAGAGGCAAGAGAACAAATGGGTAATGCTGACAGAGACCACTGTGCACCCTTAAGAACTTGATTTTGAAGCTCTTACCTCAAAAGGCCAGCAAGTCCTATTCCCAGCTGGCCAAGACCCCCTAGGTGAAGAAGAAAACAAGATGAGACCTGAGTGCAAATCTATTCTCCGAGCTTAATAGTGGACTAAAAACCCCCAGTCGTAGCGGGCTAAAGCCCAGGACTAAGCTGATGCAATCACTGAAGGCTACTCTCAGCAGCACAGCAATGCTCTCAGAATACAGGATAGCCACTGTCCAGCACGGACAGGCATCAATGCACGTGAGGGTTCGAGGCAGCACTTTCTGGTAAGGGGTGCCCAAGAGGAAAAAAGCAAGAACATAAGCAGAAAAATAACACTAATGCTGAGCCCAGCTCCAAAGAGGGGAGAGCAAGAAACCATTTGACAAAACGATAGGACAAAACCCAGCACTTGGGAGGCAGAGGTAGGTGGGTCTTTTGAGTTCGAGGCCAGCCTGGGACACAGCCAGAGCTACGTCGTAGTAGGGAGACCCTACCTCAAAATAGAGTAGACAAACAATAGAACAGAACCAAAGAGGAGCTACTACGAAAGAAATGATACTAGCTTCCTAACCTGGAGTCTTAAAGACAGTACGGATAGGAAGCCGGAGCCAAGGAGCTAGGAACACATTTGGAGGAGGACCACTATAAATTTCATATGAGACACTCATGTGGCAGGAAGATAGATCAGTGGGACTTCCTGCCAGTTAACATAGGACTAAAACCCTAGAGATGATTTTTTAGTGGAGAAAGAGAATGAAGCAAACACACAGAGAGCAAGACAGGAAAGAAGTGAAAACATGACAAGGAGGGGGAAATAGAACGTGCCCGTCAAGTGAGAGGTTGTCTTGGGCTGCTTGGGAGCACTCTGTCTGCGACAAGGTGGAATGCACAGTGCAGGGGGTGGGGCCAGGCACTGCACATTCTAGAAAAGGCAGATCAGGGAGTGATAAGCTCAACAGCGACAAGAAGCTCAGGCAGTGCTCACATCCCATCATATTTCCAGTATACTGAGCTCAGTAATAGTGTGTGATGGGCGATTCTGGGCTTAGGCTGGGGAACCCGGTCAAGGAAAGATGTGCTGAGGAGAAAGTTGAGTTCTAGAACTCCCACCCTTCCTATCCACTCAGTTTTGTTGCCATGACCTATTACCCATAATGTGGAAGGAACTCAAGTTCCAGGATAGCTATTTGGCCCCGTGCTGGGGACTGTTATGTTAAGGTGTGCTGCTTTTGTTTATGCTTCATTTGTTTAACTCTGTGAAGCTGTGATTCTTTGCCTGTCTAAAACACCTGATGGTCCTAATAAAGAGCTGAACAGCCAATAGTGAGGCAGGAGCAAGGATAGGTGGGGCTGGGAGGTAGAGAGGATAAATGGAGAAACAAGGAAAAGAAGGAGCTTGAGAACAAGGAGAGGAGGACATCAGGGACAGCCACCCAGTTACACAGCAAGCCACAGAGAAAACAGTGAAGAAAGGTATACAGGAATAGAGAAAGGTAAAAGCCCAGAGACAAAAGGGAGTCGAGATAATTTAAGAGAAGCTGGCAAGAAACAAGTCAAGCTAAGACCAGGCATTCAGAACTAAGAATAAGTGTCTGTGTGTGATTTATTTGGGAGCTGTGTAGTGGGCCCCTCAAAAGGCCAAAAGAGTAAACCATCATACAACAGCTCTGCATCCCTAGGTCCCTTCAGAAAACAAGGTTTTGTTAGAGAAAGGAAACATAGGCAATGGTTACGAATAAGACGGAAGATGTCAGCCAGAACCACGCCATCTTGTAATGGTCCTCCATTTTACTTGAGCTGCTAATTTCAGAAACTAGAGACTAGGCATTCGATAGACTCCCAAGTCAGCAGGCAGACAGGGAGAGAGGCCACTGCTAGGTAACAAAGATGGGGAAGTTCCAAGAAGGCTGGCTTCTTCCTTGCCCTCATAACCTCAGACAAAAGCCCAACAGCTTAAAACAAAGGCCTTGTGGGCTCCTTCTTCCACCAGCAGGGTCCCTAAGATGGACGGACTCAGCAAATTCAAGGCTGAATCAGAACATGTCACACAGCTGTTGTGGGCCCATCAGCCTATCTTTTTTCAAACTGACCAATCCTAAATTAGAGAAGGAAAACTTCTCAGAACCTTTAAAATCCCCAGCCCTCCAGAAGAGACCAGATGTTCAGCTTCCTCAGTTCCTCTTCTGTCCACATCACCCCTCACCCCAACTTTGCAGAGGGTTTTTTCCTCTGTGTGCCCGCTGTATGTGTGTTTCCTCACCCCCTAAGAAAAAGCCTTTGCAATTGCCGGTTGTGTCCACTAACTTCAGTCTGCTGTTTGAGATGTCTCCGCTGCTACCTGGCAAGCTCGAGCATTTCCCTGCCTTTTAATTCTTTAATGGCAGAGAAAATGAACCCCATCCAGACCCTTACACGGTAACAAGACGACAGTAATTGTTGGTTTCCAGAATTAAAGTCACTTGTTTTTCTGGATTCCTGCTCCCCTCACCCTCATGATTAAGAGACCTGGACTGCAGGCGTGTACGGCAGGCTGCTTAACCACGTGACAGAGACCGGGACTGCAGGCGTGTACGTCAGGCTGCTTAACCACGAGACGTAGACCCGGTCCGTCCTCTGAAACCACTCTGCCATTTGTGCCAGAACTTTCCTCAGAGCCCCTGCTATGCCTTCGTCTCTTTGTCAACAGCGCGAATGATTCTTCTAATACTTTACCCCCCCCCCCCGAAACAATTTCTTTGAATCCAAACCCAGAACTTCTCAAAAAAGGCTGTGTCTAATCAGAAAAGGGTTGCCAATCCAATAAAAAGCTATTTGTGATGGCACGCCTCACTCAGAGACCCCCTTTTTACAGGGCAACCACCAGACCCAGTCCTGATGGTCCCCTGGAAGCCTGTTCGGATGGTACAGCACATTGCAAGAAGCAGCTCAGAGACAATGAGGCTCATGCCACTTATGAGGAGGGGACGAACCAACCTGTGATGAAGACCCGCGGAGGCTCTGTTTCGGAGAGCGAGGCGGAGTGGAAGCTGTCATCTGCTGGGATTCGACAAGGGGAGCTGCCTAGAAACCGCAAAGGCAACACAAGCTTCCAGCGGCCAGAGGCTTTGCTCTGTGCTGTCCCACTGACCACCCGTTTCAGCATCCCGAGGACCAGCATCTGCCCTGCGGATAGCTTGGGAGAAGGGAAGGACAAGAGTCCATTACCAACCTTACATCCATCAGCCCCTGGAAAAAGCTGCTCTCCTGAAGTCACATCCCAGCTGCCAGTTCACGAGCAATTCGGGAATGCGCAAGACTGAACTCCTGACTTGTCCATAGGAAGCCAGTAAGTGCCTACCTGGAGTCAGGCCCAGGGACAGAGGAGTAAATGTTCACACAAAGCCTAACCTGGGGTAATGCTGAAGCTAAACCAGATGCCAAGCTACACTGGGGGTTAATGCACAACCAACAAGCACCAAACAACAACGACAATGACAAACCCAAACCAAACACTGGCCACCAGGTGGTGGGAGCTTACTACATGCTATCAACCTGTGCACAAACCATCTGAGGGGACAAGCAAGTCCTAGACTAAAAAGCCAAGCATTGGCCACCTGTGCTCACACTTCAGATGTTATCTCTGGAATGACCCCAGGCTGGGAAAGCAGATAGGGGAGGAGACCTGGCAATATTTAGTAAGCTGTGAGCAGCCTCTGTTTGACTCCCACATTCTTTGGATGGCTTATTTAGAGAAAACTCTGTTCTCAGTGCTTCCATGACCCCAAATGAGCATTAACCTCCCTCCTCCTCGTCCTCGCCTTCACTACCAGCTAGCTAACAGTGGACGCTTGCCTTGTCTAGGAAGTTAAGAGGTTGGGACACACACCTGTGTCTGCACTGTGCCCTGAAGATCACCACCCTGTCATAAAAAAAGGAGTCATACCCATACAGACAACTGAACTTGGAATCGTGGAGAGTTGGGGTGTTGCAGAACCAAAGATCAATTTAAATCTATCTTAAATCATAAGTGTAGCACAATTAATAAAAACCCGGAGACAGATAATGGGGTTCAACTTGAAGGTCAGAAAAGCAAAGCAGCCAGCCACTGACTCTTACCTCTGCCTCAGTCTGAAATGGCGATCCTGTCTCCAGGAATCTCAAAATGAGACTGAGAGCTGTCTCCTCCCATTTTATATTCTTCTCTAGGGCTGGGATTAAAGGCATGCACCACTACCGCCTGGTTTCTTTAGCAAACTAGTGTGGCTACTGGGATTATAGGGATGTGTCACCATTGCCTGGTCTATAAGGCTGACCGGGCGGGGGGCTGTTTTACTCTCTGATCTTGAGGCAAGCTTTATTTATTAAAATACAAATGAAATATCACTACACATAAGTCTCTGTAATAGTCACCTTTTATCCTCCACTGTGTCTAACCTAACATGACTTATCAGGTAAATCCTTTCAGAATATATTAGTTTAGCAGACTCTCACCAATCCTAAAGCTAAGGCTGTCATCAGTATCCGAAACATAGCAAAGATATCTCTGCTTTGTGGTAAACCACCTACCTGATGTTTCCACCAGTGGGTTTAAAAAATGCCTTGAGCCAGGCGATGGTGGCACACACCTTTAATCCCAGCACTCCGGAAGCAGAGGCAGGCAGATCTCAGTGAGTTCAAGGCCAGCCTGGTCTAAAAGAGCTAGTTCCAGGACAGGCTTCAAAGCTGCAGAGAAACCCTGTCTTGAAAAACAAAACAAAAAAAGTGCCTTAATTTAGGACATTTTGTTGTGTAATGAGTAAAATTGCTTTCCTCCAAGTGTGAGTGCCTTTGACCCAAGAACACAGGTTGAGATACGTCAAATTACGTTTCATGAGTGTATGCAGTAAAAGGATACCAGCTTGAGAAAGCATTTCATACCCTTATAAGTCATGGGGGGCGGGATAGTATAAAAAGTTAAGGCGATTAGAATTCTGGTGGCTGCTGGTGGGGCAGAGGGGATCCTTCATTCCAGCCCACTCATAAATGAGCTTGGAAGACAGCCTTCCTGTCTTGAGCACACTGCTCCAGGTTATCCACATTATAGGGAATGTCTGAGACTTCCTCAACCACCCCCAGAGGAATGTTGTTGAAAACAAAATCCTCCCCTGCAGCCTAGACCAGGTAAGAACTCACTTTTGAGTCACTTTATCAAAAGGAGAAGGAAGAAGCCCTGAGACCACTGGATTCCCCAGGGTGCTGAAACTCAAGGACAAATTGCAATTCTCGGAAGAAAAAGAATGAATTGCCACAGTTAAAAGGGTCAAGAAAGAGCAAACTCTGGGACACCGAAGGTCCCATCATTCCCCTCCAGGAAGACATCAGAAGGCACCCTGTGGGTTCTTCACTAAAAGGCCAAGTGTTTTACCCTGGCACTGTGGGCAGCATGGACCTGTGCTGGCTCTTCCTAATTCACTAAAAGCCCACTTTGGTCCTCCCTTCATGCCACAGGCTGGCAGGACTCCTGCTCTGGGATGTTTGTGCCTGCTGCCCTGCCCTCCAGCTGGAGGATCTACCAGGGGATAGCTTTAACACACCAGTCAGACATCAATCAGAGCCACAGAAACTTCTACCCACACAGCTGCTTTTCCAAGGAAAGACTACTGCCTTATTCTTCTGTCTTATTCCTGCCCGGTCCATCTTGACAGAGCCTCATGCTGCACAAAGCCATTTGGCTCCACAGTAGGCCACACAGGCAATGGCAACTCCATAAGATAATACAGCGAAGGGATGTTGTAACCAGCTAGGTGAGTGATAAAATTACCTGCGGATGCATGCCTCACGTGTCTCTGCTGTTGTGTGAGCATGACTAGACTCAAGGCAGCAGCCTTTGAAATGCCCAGTTTCAAGATTCCTTTATTTTATTTTATTTTATTTTATTTTACTTTACTTTACTTTATTTTATTTTGAGACAGGGTCTCACTGTGCAGCCCTGTCTGGCCTGGCAGTCACAGAGATCTGTTAGCCTCCCAAGTGTTGGGATTAAAGGTGTGTGCAACCACACCCGACCTCCTTTAAGTTCTTAAAAACCATGGACTGAAAGCTGGGTGTGGTGTCCTATGCCATTAATCCCAGCACTCTTAAGAGGCAGAGACAAGCAGACCTATTTGTTCAAGGCCAGCCTGGTCTACAAAGCAAGTTTCAGGACAAGTTTCTGAAGGGCTGGAAAAGATCCCATTTCTGTGTTGGCCCCTTTTGGGACTCTAAACTACACCCCCAGCCACCAAGATAAGCTGAAGGCTGCAGGACCCCTCTTTAGGGGAAATATTAACTAATGGGAAAACGTAAATTACACAAAGTTACTGACTGCAGTCCATTCCCCCACCCGTAGTCATACAGAGAATGTTGACCACCCAACTTCCCCTATCAGCAGGCAGCCCCTGGAGTTAGCAAAGGGTCAGCAGACGTCTGGTGGAAGTAACCAGCGGGGCTGTTGCTATCCCCCTTAGATAATAATAGCCTATCAGGTACTAACAGCTGAGCTTCACCTACCCTTTAGCCAATTGTGATATTGGATAAGTAATTCTGTATTTTGAGATGGTAATCTTGTGATTGTCTTGTAATTTTTCTCTTTATAAACCACTTACAATAGACAGGGTCTTTCTCCCTCTCTCTGCTGTGTCAGACTGTGAAGCAGAGGGCTCGTGCTAGCCTGTACTTAAATGAAACCTTGCTTTTGCATTTGGAAGTGTGGCTCTATAGTGGTCTTCTTGGGTGTCCAAGGACTCAGGCATGCCATTTCTGTCTTGAAAAACACCAAAAAACTGTGGACTGAAACGTATATGTGAATAATATCATCCATCAATATCTACACTATTAAATATTGCTAAAATTATCAAAGAGATGTTTATTCTTATTAATTCATTTAATGATGTTAACATACACGCATTTATGAAAGAAACTGTGTTTGCCAAAGCAAAAACAGAAATCACATAGTGAGAAGAGTCCATTGTCAGATATCAGCTGATTCTCATACTAGCTTCCACACTCAGTCTGTCTTGAGATTTCACTGAAGTAGCTGCAGAGAAGGCAAACTCCCACAGCAGAGGGGTGGGACAAGTGGGTGTTTCCAGACACATATCTTTGTTCTCTACAGTTCAAAGTTTAACTGACCTTTGATGTGTGTGTGTGTGTGTGTGTGTGCGCGTGCGCGCAATGCCTGGACTTGTTAGTACCAGGATGCCCACATGTGTGAATGCAGATGTGTGTGGAGGCCAGATGTTGAGGCTGGGTATCTTTCCTCCAGCCCTCTCTACTTTTCATTTTTGAGAGGGAATCTCTCACGTAGCCTGAAGCTCATCAATCCTGCTAGGCTGGCTGGCCAGTGAATTTCAGGGATCTCCTTTTGTGTCCTTCTAGCCCCACCCCCAAAACATACACACCCAGCCTCCTCCCCAGCACAGAACTTTGCACACAGACAATCAGCAGCACGCTTGGTGGTTCTGGAGATCTGAACGCGACTGGTCCTCATGCATGCATGCCAAGTACTTTGTAGTACAGCTGAGCCATCTCCCAGCCCCTTTAATCCGTGTCAAAGGCCAGCTCCGTGGAGGCTCTAACGTCATCACTGCACACCTTGCCACACTCTTACCTGCTGGCCTACCTAACACATGGGAGGGTATTTTCAAGACAGGGTCTCACTATGTAGCTCAGGCTGCCCTGGAACTCAAATGTAGACCAGGATAGCCTTGAACACAAAATGATCCACCTCCCAAGCACTGGAATCTAAAGGCATGAGCCAATACACCCAGCTCTCTTAGCCTGCTTCTAGCTCCAAGCACTGGACTTCGGAGAAATGTTGGTTTGTTTGGTGAGTCAGGAACTTCTTCCAAGTCAATGATAGCATACTTGACTCTGCGATGTCAAAGCCACAATGGACAAATACCATGAGCCCCTTTCCTTGTTCCTTCGCAGGAACAGACAACTTTGCTCATTTTTAGAATCCATCTGCTGAATCCCCAAGCATGCATAACCATGTTCAGTCCCTCCATGCAGCAGTAATGTTCTATCGACAAGAACTAATGGTCCAGCTCGTGCTTCAGTCCCACAAATGCTTTACCACAAGACACCATCACAATTGATAATACAAGGGGAGCTTCACAGGTCACCATCCAGCATCCTGCAAAGACCTACATTCAGAAG